CCTATCCAGTTTTATTTTTCTTCAGTGCCCTTATCTTTTTACTATTAAATTATACTTATTTCATCTGTCTTCCCTCTACTAAAATGTTACCTCTGTAACAGCAGCGATTCTGTCCGTTTTGTCCACTGATAACTTACAAAAATGCTTGGCACATGGTAGATATTCAGTATTTGCAGAATGCATGAATGAAACTGTGCTGCAAAGTAGCAGCCATGTACTACAATCTGCAGTAACCAAGCATTTACCCCAAAGCAAATAGGCTGCAATAGGCTCCTTCTAAAGAAACTGAATTTGCTGTTCGAGACAGGATCTAGGTTTGCCAGCAAGGACCACTACATGTTATACAGTTTGTGCCCTAAACAAAGACGCTTAGCCTCATGCTCTTGAGCTTCAGGATATTTTTTCTAATTCAGTTCACTCAGGGCTTCATTTAGCAATGTGCTTAAGCTGGCACACCATGTGATTTTTAATAATGAAAGTTGTAGCCAATTTTATATTCTCAATTTTATGCAGGCTCCATACTGCATATCTTAAAGAATTTGACATAGTCATTATCTGCACAAAACAATATCATTTTTTTTTCCCCTGGCAAAATAGGGAGCCCACTCAAATTTTCCCATTGGTTCCCACATTTATGTGTTTTCATTTACTTTTCTTCTCCAAATGACTAAATAAGTGGGCATAGCTGTGTTCCAATAAAACTTTTATTAACAAAAACAGGTGGCAATGGGCTGCAGTTTGCCAATTCCTATTCCAGAGCAATGGCAGGTACACAAGAGGCACTCAAATATAAGACAGATGAAAAAACACCTTCAAAACTATGCAATTTAGAGTGTGATCAGAAAAGATACAGCAAAATTACATGACTATAGGACGATTTTTCTTTCTTTTATCCCAGTTCTTCACTTAAGGGGCCTTTCTTATACACTTGTGCTGTGTACTGATCTCTGAGGTACCATGAAAGATGAAAGCTATAACAGATGGCTCTGCTTGTAAGGATCAGTGCAAGTGTTAGGACAGGAATACAGATGTGTGACTTCCATGTATATACACAGATGTCACTTTTAATTTCAATAATCCCTATGAGCCACAAAACTATACAATGTACCCAAAACACTCTTACTTTCACAGAGTTCCTCCCTTCTTTTTAATCAGTTAAAGAAACTAAAGTTAGGCATGCCAACTGACTCCTTCAATTCCTTTTTAATACAGTCTGTACAACCTACAGGTCTTAACTCTAACTGCCCCACTGGTACCATGGGATAATATTTCCAGAAAAGTTAAGTAGAGAAGGGTGAAAACCTGACCCAATGACTCAATCTGAAAAGGTGTGGAGAAGAGGAAGAACACCAAACACAGAAAAAGGTACCAAAGCTGTAAACCTCTTGCCAATTCCTTGAAATTTTTCACATTTCTTTTAAAATAACCTCCCAGTTCCCTTTTTCAGTTAGAATGGTTATCTGTTCCAATGTGTTCTGTCCCCTGATTAGATTCCAGAAAACAGCAAGATCTTACAGAACATAAAACCATGTTTCTACTTCTTGCTATCAGAAGAAGCAGAAACACACGCACACACAGTGAGTGATGTAAGGTTTATAGCAGGACCATCTCCAACAGAGGAAGATTCTCTTATAATAAAACACTGGTACTGAGTCCTTCCTGAAAGACTTAAGTTTGCCATCCATTACACTGCCAAGCTTTCAAAGGTGCTTCTAGATTAGAAAGCACTCTTCCAGCATTAAATGTAAAAAGTAGGTCACTTTAATCCAAGGAGCAGTCACTACTGACAGAACTCAAGACCTTCAACACTGCTTAGTTCATCCATACATGCCTTTATTTTAAAATATCATTATAATGACTCTTGACTTAGTCAATGCTATGATTTTTTCAGTAGTCATGTATGGATGTGACAGCTGGACCATAAAGAAAGCTGAATGCCAAAGAATTGATGCTTTTGAACTGTGGTGTTGGAGAAGACTCTTGAGAGTCCCTTGGACTGCAAGGAGATCCAACCAGTCCATCCTAAAGGAGATCAGTTCTGGGTGTTCATTGGAAGGACTGATGCTGAAGCTGAAGCTCCAGTACTTTGGCCACCTGATGCTGATGATTCACTGGAAAAGACTCTGATACTGGGAAAGACTGAAGGCAGAAGGGGAAAGGGATGACAGGGGATGAGATGGTTGGATGGCATCACCGACTCCATGGACATGAGTTTGAGCAAGCTCTGGGAGTTGATTATGGACAGGGAAGCCTGGTGTGCTGCAGTCCATGGGTCACAGAGTCAGACACGACCGAGTGACTGAACTGATACTGACTTTGCTGAACTGCCTAAAAATCACTTGACCTAAAACTCAGAGAAAATATCCCTAACTTTAACCAATATTCTTCAGTAAGTATTTTTACTTCCTTTCTTCCTCTTCTGTGGAGTTACATCTGACACCAAGACCAATGTTTCATGTTCTAGACAAATACAGCTGTGTGTCATCAAGATATGCCATGTTTAATGTAAATATATTACAGATTCAAATCCAACCATCTAGAACAGCACTGTCCAGTACTCTTAGCCACATATGTCTACTGAAAACTAAAACTTGGCTAGCTAATATAGCAGAATGAGAACAGAAGGCAGGAGAGTAAGGTTCTCTATTCTACTGGTCAAGAGAGATCTTCCATGATGCCCAACTGAAAATGCCTTCCTTTTTGAGTTTCCAACTCTAGATCCTAAAGCCTTACAATTGATTACTTTAAGGACTTGGAATAGGCCACTTACTATTAGTCCTCTCAAAGAAGAAATAAAAGATTAAAATAAAAGCAATAATTTGCAAGTATCGATGACTCACTTAAACCTCACAAGACCCCATATCAGGTAACAAATTATTATTGTATCTATTTTACAGATTAGAAAAGTGAGTCACAAAAAGGTTTAAGTCATTTGTTCACAATATGTTAGGATCTGAATCAGGCAGCCTGACTGTACACTCTGGGCCCTTAACCATGTTACATGCCTTTCAGTGTAACTCAGGAACTCCATGTTACTACATATTGCAAGACACAACAACATAAGAAGTTAAAATGTACATATGATCTAAGCAAAACTCTGTCACAGAAGTGAGTGCAAGATCAACAAGAAGCCTATGTGGTGTGCTAAGGGTAGGGCAGGCCAGGGACAGAGCAGAAGCAGAGTTTACAAACGGTGCTCTCTCTCTCCTGCAAGCACGTCCTAGCCCAGGAGACTTAGTTTCTCAGCACTCTGCTCTACCTGCTCAGCAGAAGAATAACACAGACACAAAGAATCATCTCAGAGCAATAGGAGAAGAAATGGAAACAGGACTAATCTACTGGCGGAGGAGAAATGGAAACAGGACTAATCTACTGGCATACAGTTTTCCCCAAATCCTCCATAGTTATTTATATATAAGCTTCTCTTGTTTCCTACTGTGTGTCCTTTCTGCCTAATTTCATCTTTAAAAATCAAACTTTCACCTATGGCTGATTCATGTTGAGGTTTGACAGAAAACAACAAAATTCTGTAAAGCAATCACCCTTCAATAAAAAACTAAATAAATCAAACTTGCACTAAGTATGTACTAAAGGCTTCCTTCACCTACATTTTCTTTATTCAACAATAAAGAAACACTAAATAAAGAGAAGAGCATAGAGTGCTAGAGTACTGCAAAAATAGTACCAAATTAAACTGACCCTCTATAGGGGAAATACCAAATGACTGTAAACTGAAGAGTTAAAACCTTGTATTATAGACCTTAAAACCTCACTAAAGTGAGACTTGTCATCATTAAACACGAGTTCTTTACAGCTACTGAAAAATTAGGACTAAGGTAACCCCTGGGGATTCATACAGTACTGTCCATTTACTGACCAGCCCAGAAAAGGGGGGGGAAAAAAAAAAATCAACCAGACTGAAACTTCAAGATTTTTAACTACTTTTGAAGGTACCCACATTCCTCTCTTCATTTCTGGCATGTAACCTTTGACTATTTTCATAAGAATATCCATATTCACTACATGTTCTTCATTATGCTTTCTAAGAGACTTCTCACTCACTGATTCTAAAATCAGTCAATTTTTATTTCCCTTCAGTCAACACATTCTGATGTGAAAGAGAAAGTAAGCTCATCTTACTGCAAACAGCATTTCTTTTATTTCATACTTCCCTAAATAGTAAGATTTGATAAATCTTAACCTACACGTTCATCACACTGCTCATGGCAATGTCTTACATTTTAATTATCTTTTCTATAAAACAGTGCATTTCGCTACTGTGGGAAACATTTCAATTAAAGAGTCTTACTCCTAAATCCATGAAGGAGGAGGAAAAAACCCAAGACAAAAACAAAAAAGAAAGTAGAATAAAAAATCACACCCCTCTATCCCAAAATGATTCTTAAGGTGATAGCTTTTAGTAAGAGAAAAAGGAGAATCTTTCCACAATATCTATATTACAGCACTTTTAAAAACAAAGTTGGCAAGTGTAAAAGACTTTTAACTTCATTCAGTAACTAGAGTTTCTTTATTTTGAAGTATATACTCTCTCTGATTAAACAGAGCTATTATAAAAATTATTAATTATAATTTAAGTTACTAAATTATTTCCAAGAGCTATTTTCTATATTAATATCTAACATCATACTTCCAAAATACATTTTATGATTGATTAAAATATTAACTTTAAAAGGATGAAGTCAACTATAAAATAGAGTGATCTAAAGAATTTTCTTCTTTTGCTTCACAATAATAGAATAATGAAAAAAGATGCATGGTCACTAATGATACTTAGTTGTTAAGTTTTATTCTCAAAAATACTTTATAAATAAAAACCTATCACCCACTCCACCCTCAACATTCTACCCACCAGAAAAAAACAGACCCTAAAAAATACCTCATCATGCTGACTTAAGTGTATCTTTAAGTACTTTAGATTAAAAAACTATAAGTTATTATTATGCCTAAGTACACAGTGTTACAGGCTTAAGTCTACTCACACAGTTGAGGTTGATGAGCAAACAGCTGTCCTGTATCTTGAGACAGACATTAGCTTCCTCCCTTCCCTATCCTCATAAGCAGCTACTTAAAGTTTGAGTTTTATGCAAGAAAACATTTTAAAGCCTTCAGTGTTTTATTGCAGCAGACTTCAGATTCATTCCTGTAACACATTTAACATGAAAGAGAGTTGAGACAGTTCAAATTAACCATGCACACTTTAATTGTCTAAAAGTTTAAGGAGTGCTTTCACTCTTACAGCTACATAAAAAGGGTTGCAATGTAAAACTAAGAATAACATTTCACTTGGTATCTGACACCAATGTACAATATGAACAATATGTAACTGTAACATAGATTTTTCTACCTTTTATAATCATTTATACCCAAAGTAAGAAAAACTAGGTCTTTCTTTTTTCCCTAAAGTTTAGCTTATTTCTTTAGCATAAATAACCACCAATGAAAGAACTTTTTATAAAGAGACAGTGAATGGGGTACCCTGAGTGTACCAAGAATATCCCTGGGGACCCTCTGATTGAGGAGAATATGACTCTTGGTCCTGCTGTGACAGAAAGAGGAGCCACACTTCTAACATTACAATGAAGGGTTACAGCACATTTCCCTACAGACTCAAATTCCTATAGTATCATTATTGAAACAGGTTCTTCAAGTGTTCTAGACAGCTTATCTGGAAAATAAAACTGCATTCAATCAAGATGTCCTAAAATACCTGGGTAACTATGTTCCCCCAATATGTGTGTATTAATAAACTCAGTTTCTACAGTAAATTTTAGGAAAAGTTTTACGATTTCACAAAGTAAATTTACTATTTATATTAACAACATGGTTTTAAAATGCCGTAAGAAACAGCATACAAACACTCAAAATTCACTAATTTTTAAAATATTATTTAATGTTGAAAAACTGATTGTGTATTTGCTATGCAATAAAAGGCTAAAGGTTTTAGGATTCAGTCAAAATAACTCAAATGTTTGTGTCTTTATAATCTACTTATAATGAACATATAAATAATTTAAGAAATGACTCTAAGCTTTATCAAAGTTGTCACTGATAGAATAATATTCACATAAGTTAAAATATTTATTCAAGAGTCTAACTGTGCTTCAGTAGCACTTATTGAAACTTTCTGATTATCACCACAGATTTAAATGAGCCTACAATAAAAAACAACAGCTAAAAATAAATTCCACCAATCATGGGTGTAAAAATAGAAGCATCCTTTCTATATAATAACAATAAACATTTGATGAGTGATTGCAGTGCAACAGACACCATTCCCATAATTTTACATGCACACTTAATCCTCATTCCCCCCCAAAAGGTAGCTGCAATTATTACCAACTCTTTTCAGATTATGGAACTGAAGTTCAGAGATGTTACGAACCTGCTGAAGAGGACAGAGCTAATAAGTGGCAGAGACAGGACTTGAAGCCAGATTTACCTGATTACAAAGCCTCGTGCTCAAGCTAGATTATAAGCAACAGCAATCTACTGTATTGAATAAACCATATATGGAACTGGTATCTGGATCTGGTGCTAGATCTATGATATTGATAAATGAATGTTAGCAGGAAACCAACAGTATGGTTATAAATTCAGGAAAGCTCTCTCTCACAAGAAACAACTGTTAGAAATGGGAGTAGTAACTAAGAGAAAAGACAAAAGTGGAATGCATTCTGAGGGGCTGTTATGAAGAAGAAAACAGCAGGCTTATCTCACAAGTAGCATAAAAGTAGAAAATTTGAAATAATGTGTCAAAGTCTCAGAAGAGAAATTCCAGTTCAACACAAAATACTTTATAAAGCCAAGGAACCCAACAGCTGGAACTGACTCCCTCCCATACTACTGGGTTTGTGCAATCAAAAGATTTGAACTTCACCCACCATACTAACGATAGATTCTGGCAAAACTGCCAAAGAATGTTAAAATTTTTTGAGGATGAAAGTTTGATGATGAAGAGCACATATGAAGTCTCCAAGTATCTCCCCAGAAATTGCTTACTGGAGAAAGAAAAACAGTAACTTTTCCACACTAATGGGAAGATCAAAGCTGGTATCACTGCAAAGAGGACAAGTGGATACACTCCTCCTGATGAGAGGCCCTGAGAATCACATGCAGTATCACAGCATTCCTGCTCACCTCCTACATTCAATCACAAGGACACATCACACAGACCCCAATCGAGGGAGATTCCATAAATAAATGGTCTGTCACTCTTCAGAAGTGTCAGTGTCATAAAAGACAAAGAAAGGCTAAGGATAGGGTTGTGATTAAAGGAAACTAGAGACATGACAAGTCAATAAATGATTGAAGATTGGATCCTAGACTGGAAAAAAATTATTAAAGAACATTACTGAGGAAACTAGAGAAATCTGAATGTGGGCTGTGTATTAGAAAAGTGTACTGTATCAGTGTTCAATTTCCTTGATAACTGGAATGTCCCTGAAACCATTAAGAATGCTGTCCTTAGATAATATACGTCTTTAAGTATGACATGGTAAAGGGACAGGGTGCATGCAACTTTTCAGAAAGTTCAGAAAAAAATAAAATGACAGCCCGAATGCAGCAAAATGCTAACAATGAGTGAATCTTGCCAGGGGGTAGATGGGAACTATTTGTACTATTAATGCGATTTTCTAGAAGTTCAAAATTAAACCTGAGAAAAATAAATATTTGGACCTGATGTTCTAAAGGAGTTCAACCAGATACCGAACAACAAGAGAACCATCATTTCCTATTGCCATCTCTGTACACTCAAATCCAACCCAACATCAGTCTAAACTGATTTGTGACTATCCATTTTAATCAATTATAAGAAGCAGTGCTCTCATTTAAAACATTGATGTGAGAGCTAGAGTCAAGTGAATGTCTGCCTCTTCTCAACCTAAAAAGTCAAGTGAATGCCTCTTCCCAAACCTGTTAGCCAAACTTTTCCCAAGAAAGCACAGCTATTCTTCAATTGGATATGCAGTAGTGGGTGTGTCCTTGCTAAAAACTCCAAATTAAGTTAATTTCTGGGTATGCCAGGTAGCAAAGCATTACCAAAGTCAAGAGATAATCAGTGATCAGTAACCTACAAGGGAAATACTGTTAATAAAACAAACGTCCCACCCAAGCCAATCCTGCACTGCCCACAATAAGCGGACAATGCCACAGTGACTACAGAGCACCTGGAAAAGACAAGAGAATGTTAATCACTGAGAGGCCAGGTATAAATGGATAATGTACAACATTCCAGTGGTCTAAATCCACAAAGAGAGGGAGGGAAAAAAAGAGGAAAGGGGGAGGAAAAAAAAAAAGAGAAAATAAAGGGACATAGCAAGAAAGGAGAAAATCCTGACAACAACATACCACTTTACTGATTTCATGTTCTCCTCTCTCTCCAATGGCTTAACACACTCTCCCTCACTTTAACTTATCTTCAATTGTCTTTTACTAACTCTAAGAGTCAATCTCTGTAAGACGGCAAGAGCTGTTAAGAGCACAGCTTTGACTATACAATCATTATTTGCATCCTATGCCCACACTCCATTTTTGTTTTACTTGTCAGGAGGCCCAGAACAGTAGTCTCTCTAGTAGGAAATCTCACAAACAGTTCATCTCGAAAAGGAACAGAAAAACACATCACCCTGCTCACAGCCTAAAAGAGACAAAGGCAAGAATGGAGGGAAAACTGAAGGGTCAGGACAAAGAAGAAAGGATTTTAGTCTCCTATACTAATCTGGATACACCCTCTGTCAGGTATGAGCAACCTAAGTGGTACAATATTCACTGGTACTTAAGCTAATTCCAAGTCAGGAGCACTGTTACTGAACCGTGGCCTTCTTTCAGGCAAGCTCTATATCAGATTAATCTTTGATATAGCACCAAACACTACCTTGTTTAAAAAAAGGCACTTTCATAGGCACTTGTAGAACTGCTGTTGTTTAGTCGCTAAATTGTGCCTGACTCTTTGTGACCCCAGGGACTGTAGAGCACCATGCTCCTCTGTCCGCAGGATTTCCCAGGCGAGAATACTGGAGTGGGTAGCCATTCTCCAGGGATCTTCCCCACCCAGGGATCTAACCCTTGTATGGATTCTACCCAACTACAAAACAGGCAAAATTATTTTATCCCAAACCCTGCCTTCTCTCCCTTTTTCTCAGGTAGCATGTGTCAAATACTCTCCCCTACCAAACCTATCTGCTAGCTCTACAAACTTTTCCTCTGATCTCAATTCACAACTCCAATTTCCTAAATGCTGCAGGTAAACACTGTTATAATAAAAGGATCAGAACAACTCATACTGTGAATGAAATATGACCAACTCAAACCTAAAAATTTAATCCAATTTTAAATATAAAATCTCTAGCTTAAATATGGGATGTGCACATGGGCATCTCTATGTATACCTATGTATGTATTCTGGAGGACAGGGAGCAAATTTTCAGGTATCACCTGCTTCTAAATCAACTCTTAACCTACACTGCCAAGGAGATTGTAACACCGATACATGTGAGTCAGAAAATGCAGCTCACTTCAGAGGTTTTATTAAGTCAGATCAACATGGTCTTCATCTGAATTTCCAGCAAACTCCTAATACAGGACATGACAAATCATGAACCTTTATCTGTATTTGCCATATTTCCCTTAGCTCTTCTGTACTATACAGGTCCCAACTCTGAAGAGAAAGGGAGTGCTACAGAAAAAAATGAAAAAGGCTCCAAGACATGTTAATACACAAGTCACTTTTGTGGTCAAAGTTATACCATGTAATTCAGCTCACTATATTTTGATAATGGTACATTTTAGGAGCCATCTGTCTTGTTAACCTCTGTATTTCTAGTATTTGGCACACCTACACAGAACAGGTGTTCTAGGCACTCAAATATTTATATAATGGATTAACACTTGACTTACACTTACCCACATCACAAAAACAAACCCTGAACCCTTATATATCAATTATATGAAATCCAATCACCCATGTAAAAATCAAATTACCAGTATCTCCATCTTTAATTTTTAGAATATGGGAATGCTTTAACAGTGTAGAAAACACTAATCCAGTTTAAATTAGTTCCCTTCCCCTTTCCAGGCCACTAAACGGCCAGATTAATCTATGACAATCTAAAAATAGTATGCCAGATGACAATTCTGTAT